ACACACACACACACACACGGGGAGTCCAACTTACGACCACAATGGAGCCTAAAGATTCTATTGTTAAACAAGACATTGGTGAAGTGAGTTCTGCCCCATTTGATGGCTTTTCTTGCTACAGTTGTTAAGTGAATCACTGAAGTGGACAAGTTAGTAACATGGTTGTTAAGTGAATCTGACTTCCCCATTGACTTTGGTCGTCGGAAGGTATATATGCAAACACACACACACCACATACACACACCTTTTCTATATACATAAACCAGGTAGTCCTCAAGAACAGTTCATTTAGTGGCCTTCCAAAGTTACAACTGCACTGAAAAAAGTAATTTAGGATTGTTTTTCACACTTAACGACCGTTGCAGCAGCTCCTTGGTCACATGATTTATATTCATATGTTTGACAACTAACTCACATTTACGACGGTTGCAGCCTCTCATGTGATCAGCTTTTGCGACCTTCCAACAAGCAAAGTCAATGGGGAAGCCGGATTCACTGAGCGAGCGTGTTGCTAATTCAATAACTGCAATGATTCATTTAACAACTGTGGCAAGTGAGGTTGTAAAATGGGGCAAAACTCACTTAACAAATGTTTCACTTTGAAACAGAAATTTTGGCCTCAATTGTGGTTGTAATTTGAGGACTATCTGTACACACACACACACACACACACACACACACACACACACACACGAGTCAGCCCTAGGAAGCGGAGTGGCAAACTTCTGACAAATATTTCCAAGCAAAGTACTTCATGTATTCATCTATATTCCTATACACATACACATTACTTACTTTTTAGAGGCATAAATGAGAGTGTATATTCTCTCTTTATTTGCCATCTTTTTTTTTTTTTTTTGCTTGCCATTAAGCTTAATTAATTATGCATTATAGGTAACCTATTACCAGAGGACTCTGGTAATAGGCAATTTACAACATAATCCCTCTTCCAGCTTGGGTCAGAATTTGCTATCTGATTATCCATTAAAAGAACTGCACTGCCAAATATTGAGGGTTTCAAGGTAATTTGTGACGGAAGCAATAATAATTCATTTTCTTTCTTAATATATGTTTGCTACCTCCTGTGGCCTACTTCTCCCTTTTGCTCTTTGTAATGCATACATCCATTTTCTTCTGTTGACCATGTTATAATAGATTACTATTGATTTATGATGCCTTGTCTGTAGGCTTTGATGCTGATATGTTCACTTTTGTTTAATTTATTTTTAACCTATGGATTACTGAAAGGTTTGTGGGAGTTCTACGTTTAAACAACGCTGAAGTTATTTCAGTGCTGTTTAGTCCTGCCTCCATTTCTCTTTTCTTGCTCTCTTTTGTAATATATATATATATATATGGGGGTTTTTTTTGGACTAACAATGTTGCTAACAAATTTAATGCATCTCAGTAATGTACATACTGTATGTTAACATGTTTACTTTTTCCCTTAATCCTGTTTCTCCCGCTTGATACATATTTTTAAAGTTTCAACTTTTCATTTCTTTTCATTTATGTAAGATTTGTAACAACGATGATTCTGGTTTTGCCTGTTGGCTCATTATTTACCTTTTATATCTTGTGTTACTGAAAAAGGACACATGCCTACATTTACCTCTGTTCTTTTTAGTTTTATAAACTATTTTCAAACAAACTATAGATATCCTAAACAAACTTTTCCCTCAATTCATGTTTTTTTTTAAAGTCACAGTTTGCACTTAACAACCAGCACACTTAAACTGGTTATTAACCCACAAAGTTTGCAAAATATATTAGTTTGGAAACTGCTTAAACAGTCCAGCTGTACCCAGTACTTTAAGCCCCCCAAAATTTAGTATATTGTTAAGAATTCACGTGCTTGGTTTAATAACTCTAATAAAAACTGTTGGAAACATAGCCCGAAGGCAGAATGTGTATCTTTTCCAAAAGTGGTGTCAGATTTAATTATTCAAGCAAGCATATAACAGCCAGCGATGGGTAGAAAAATTGGTTTTCTATTATTCACCCCAAAGTCTTGCAGTGGAATAACCTCTGACAAATACACAAGCTGAAATGAAGCACCCTCACTTTATTTTTGTTAAGGAGCATCTTTGTTTTACTAATAGAACATGATATAAAAGATAAGAAATAGGAGATTTTAGCAAGTCAGTCAAAAGGAAGTTTTCTAGGAAAAATAATTGAATAATCCTTTGTAGCTGTGCAGTCTATATTTATTTTTCCTTGCGATGTAACAAAGAAACAAAACTCTTGAAAAGGGTCTATAACGTTGTAACTTTTTGTTAACTCTGCTCTTGTTTTATCCTTGGCTGTGTTTTAAATCTGTTTTACATTCTATTCCCCACCACCACAACTATGGTTTTAGCATTTGTATCTATAAACCACCAAGATTCACTTGGATAATGAGATGGGCAGGGTCTAAATTTGATAAACAAACCAGGAAAGGTATTTTATTCTTTGCTCCCCCTCACATGAGAATGTGGGGGATTGTTAGTCTTGCAAAGTTGTTCCAGGCTCACACAATTTTACTAGTGTTTTGATCTGAATAGCAACAGCTGGTGCCTCCTGTTTCCTTGGCAGATAAATGCCCACACCACCAACCCTTATCTGTACCTCCACTAATTGTGTGTCTTTGCTCCAGAGCAGGCTGGGGCCAGACAGCTGGTAAACAAAAACAGCATTTGTTTATCTGTACTTGGGGATTTTCAAATGAAACGAGGCCTCTGATAGCATTGATGCAACAACCTTGGCTTGGCATCTTGCTGGTCGCTGCTAGCATAATTCAGTGAATAAAAGGCAGTTTGCCAAGATGGGGCATCTGTGCCAGGAGACACATGGCGATTTCTGCCATATTAATAGCTTATTTTTCTAAAAGGTTTTCAGAACCCTTTTAGGAGTCAGGAAAAGCAAGAGAGCCGCAAAGTGGAGCTTCTTTGGGACTAGGTGAAAAACATCACCAGGTGAGCAACAGGTGGCAGAAGTGAGAGGTGTGCTCCGGAAAGCTGTTTTTTTCATTGCCACAACAAGATGTAAACTAGTCTGTACAAACCACAAGGTGGCTTTGGAATGAAGCACCACACCTTGGCTGATTTCAGGAGCTTCGTTGTGTGAAGCACGTTGGCCCTATCCATATTTAAATATTAAAATTTAGCTGTAGCATTTTGTCCAACACCAGCTCCTATTTGTGCAACTAGGAAAAGAGTTAGAAAAAGGAATAGTTCCAAAATGTATGGTGGGCAGGAAGTGTTCCTAACATTAAAATGGCAATTTGCATGGATTAAAATGGAGAATTTTTGGTGATTTGCATGGATGACAATGTCTGGAGATTATTTAGATAAACCCTTTCCTCATAATCAGCATTTGACTCTGTATTTTAACAAGGGGATCCTTTCAAAATGACTCTGTCATAGAAGGTGTAATGGAATTGTATTTCATAGGACTCCAAAATGGGAAAATCACATGTTTTATCAAAAACAGCAACGGTTCTGATATAATCCTTTTGCCCTGCTAATTTTTCCCCTCTTTTCCAAAACATTGCAATCACTGGATTTTGCAACAGGACTAAATCAATAACAAATGCAAGAAGGGTTGATAGGATCTGTGGCAGTACGTTCTTCATCTTTTTAGGAGTTTTCCACATCAATTGATTTCATTTTGCAATTTTATTGCAATTTATTTGCTGGTTATGAGCTGCCCAGAGTGGTTGAGAGTCAGGCGGCATACAAGTTTAACACATTATTATTGCATTATTATTATTTTTTCTTTAAAAAAAAAAACCAAATTAAAGCCCTATGGAAACCTCTGTAGCTGTAAGTACAGCCTTAGCAAACAATTTCTAGACTTTGCGTTGCTGGAAGGGAATGAAAGAGTTAAATGCAGTAGGCTGGCCCACCTCACTCAGGCCAATCAATTGGAAGCCTGGCTGTGACTGACAGGGAGGAGTTCAAGAGGCTGGATTAAATTAGATTTGATCCTTCAGGCTTTGTTGAAGCTGGGAAGCCATTTTGGGATTCTGCAGGGTGGAATACAGGAGTCTGAGCCTGCTGTCAACTCTCAAAACTTCTTCTCAATGATCCGGCTGTGGCAAATTCTGCTTTAGAAAAGAATGCCACACTGAGGCATCCCCGGTGCCTTCTACAAGGGTGGAACCATGCTGGATTTGGAAAAGTTTCAGGTTTGAACTGTGGATCCCTGCTGCAGTTTACTGCTGGCTGGGCAGCAGAACTGATCTCTCCTCCAGCAACTTCTTTTTAGCCCCGTCAAAGCAAGGATCTAATTTGCTTGCTCAGGTTAGCCAGGCTTGGTGAGCAGGCTGCCCTTTTGTTTTTGTTGTTAACCAATCGGGAACCTGCTTTGATGCATAAAACAATTGACAATTGTGTCAATCACACTGGCTTGCAAGAATCCTATCTCAGACGGGATTTATCTAACGTGTGCATCCGATACTACGAGTTGTTTATAAGAGCCAGGTTCTGTTGCTAGCATTATGAGCAGAATTGCAACTCTAAGTTTGGAATATTTTTTTTAAAAGCATGTGTTGGAAGGTGTTTTGTCATTGGGTAGTCAACTCCAGGGAATAATGCAGATCAAGCTTCTTGCTGTGTGCTAGATTTGAGTCCATTCACATGTGATTTATTTTTTATTTTGGATGGTTGTGTTCATGCTTTCAATTGATTGTTCTGCTTTGCATTAAGCTCTTGTTCAGCCTGTTGTAAATTAATAGCATTTCACACAACAATGTGTGAAACAGCTGCAAAATGTTAGATATTCCTTGTCTTGTAAGAACTATTGAGGTATCTGCCTGGGGAAGTGAGTTATTCAGGCTAAATA